GATAGTCACGGTGTGTGTTGCGTACGCGCGCTTGTTTTGCTCGGCTCGCGATGACGAAAGTGACTCACGGACGAACCAGTGGCAGTGTGTGAGAAAACTCTTGTTCATTGGCAACGGCGCGGAGGTGTTCTAAGATTAAGTCGGCCCAGGTTCCGTCCACCTGGCAAGGGAGGCTGCTGTTTGCTCTTTATCTCCGCCGTTCCCCTCCTCCCCTTTTTATCTTGTTCCTTCGAGTCTCTGCTTCCTCTTTCATTCTTGCCAATTTGTTTCCCTGCGTCAGACTTGGACAGGTTTATTCGAATAACGGATGACGCGAACTCGACGCGGAGCTGTTATAGATTCTTCGATCGAATCGAATATTTCAAGTTTCCTGAACGTTTTCGACTCTTCTTTTCTTTTCTTTTTTTTTTCTTTTTTTGCTTTTTTTCGAGAAAATGCGCGCATTTCTTTTTTAGATACTTCGAGCGATCGGTTTGCGACTCGGGGAGTAGAGTCGAACACGTTCGGCGGATGAGAAGTTCATTCTTGATTCGTTCAAAGAATCTGTAATTAAGTAATGTCATTTGTCTTCGTTACTCGGAATCGGTGTATCCGAATGAGAATTTTGCCCATGCGAGAGGATTCTTCTTTGGAATATACAATTCCGACCTGATTTTCATCAATTTTTTTACTATCGTAACGATAGCCTCGCGTGGTCGAGTTTTCCTTGTCCTTTTTCCTATTCGAACGCAGCATCGATTACGCAGGTGAATATCGACGAGCAACAGAGTCCAAGTGACGCCACACCGAACACGTATGATACATCCACGTTAAAACACGTTTTGGGGTTTAGATTTGCATGAAATTTACGATTCGAAACTATCGAAGAAATAAGATAATCCGAATTAAAGGAACACTTATATCTGACGAGTTTACATCGTCCTACTTTGATAGTTTCGAAGATTACCCGTAAACGGTTGTTCGAAATCGATAACCATAAATAATAAACGACTGTTTGCGGCCACATATCCAATGGCTGAAATCGTTAAACGCGAGTAACAAATACAACAAACGGCCTCTATGAAATCTCGCGAATTTTTGGAATCGGTCGAAACGACCATCCGTGAGCCAATCGTTAAATTAGCTCTGATCGAACTGAAGAATGCGCAGGGATATCGTTGGCATGGGTATTAAAAGTAAAAAGCACACGTGTGCGAATACCAGGTGGCGTGCGGCTTTACTCTCTCCCGGGATCGATCGAAATTCAGGGACGTCGGTGCGCCGCGCATTCAATAATTACCGCTAATTATATTTCGCGCGAAGGTCGGCGACGGAAACTGTTAAAAGCGGCATTGTTTAACGCGATTCGAGCCTCGTACGTATCCATCTTTCGCGTAATCGATCGTTCCCGATGTGACCTATATCGCACCCGGGAGGATCGAGCTCTCTTCTATTAGGGGTGGCCCAGAAAATATCGCGCGTTTTAGTCGCTTCGCTTCCTGGATTATTTTTAGTATCCTTCTGGGGGACGCGCACGTTAATGGATTGTTGGCAGAGTTGGGGTGTTGTTTAAATAAATTCTTGGGAAAAAAAAAAATATACCGTTGATCCTTTTCTGTTTGAAATTATTCGTTACTCGGTCGACATTCTCCGAACAAAGTGTTTAATTATTATCTGGAATCGAAATTCGACTTTCGCGTGGTACTTATTGGATTGTCTGGAAAGTCCATGCCGATTTTTAGTAGGCGGTACAGGTCTAGAATATATCGGAATGGTTGAAAACGAATAACACGTGGACATCCCTTAAAAGGTGGACAAATTGTGGAACAAAATAATTACGTATATAATTCAATAAATATATATATATATCGAAATTCAAACGTGTCTGTATGTTTCTTAAAAATTGCCACGAACTTTCTGGACAACCCAATATTATCCGAGCAAACGTTTCCTCGACCTCGACCCGTTTAAAAATAATCAGGAACTAAACGGTATTTTCTGTGACGCTCTGCTACGACAGAAAACGATCGAAGTTGCTTTCAATCTCCTTGCGGTGGAAACGATCGAACAGTATCGCCTTTCCAAGCACAAAATTCCAAGAAACAGTAACGACGCGCTTGCGGACACTTGCAAGCCTACTAATAAAAAAAAAAAGAAAAGAAAAAAAAACCGCTCGTTTCTAGATATATCTCGTTCGCGTTTGCTCGATCCAGGAATTCCTTTGAAATTCCTCTGATCGGTTTGCTCCCTTCTATCATAGAATCGATGGAAATGCAGAAAGGACACTTAAAGATTCAAAAGTGTACGGTAAATATAGGGTCAGGGTAAATCCTATATGTACAGGATAAAGGAGTTAGACGTAACAGAGAAATTTTATTTAAACGATTCCTATATACAAATTAGTTGTATAGATCGAGAAGTAAATCCGTCCCGACGCGCAGTCTCTTTCGTTTAACGTTACAGAGATATCGCAACCGTGTCTTCTAGGAGTCACCAAGGGAGCTCATTTATGGCGACACGTTTTTCTTGTTGGCCCGCAGCGAGCTCCCTCCGTCCCCTATCCGCGGTTTAAGGTCGCGAGACACAGATGAGACGTCCGCGACGAGATATCCGAAGTAGGTATCCCTAGACGCGACACGAATGGTCCAAATAACCCTGGGCTTTTTCGCAACCCCGAACGTTTGGGAGACAGCCACCGCGTCGGTCGTGTGTGTGCCACTTCTTCCATCTCTGTGTATCCTCCTTGTTTCGAGGTTAGGTGGGCAACACGCATTTACGCCGTGGCCCAGCGCCACGCAGCTTGGCACAGCTTTTTCGGCCATCGTTGTGTAACGCGTTTCGTCTACGTGTTGGCCCAGCCGGTGCTCCCAGCGCTTTACAAGCGCGATGTCGTATCGTCTGGCTAGTCGCGGCTAGTTCGCCTCGCGAGGTCCGAGACGTCGGACATTTCTTTCTTTTTTTCTCGTTGTTGGTCCGGTGTACGCGACGCGCATAGTTCACTTTCGGTTCGATAACAGTGTCGGGCGAGTCGAAACGAACGACGGACGTCTCTCTCCGCGGCGCGATTCTTGAAACGAGAGGCGACGTATCGGTCGGTCAGCAGTGCTCGCTGCAACTCGAGACGGTCGCGGTCGAGAGGATCTTGTTAAGGACCGTGGTGTACGGGCGTCGAATCGTGCGGTTTTCGCAGCCCAGTGCTCGAGATGTATCTGGGACTAGAATCGATTCCTTCGAATCCGTCGTGTTCCCTGGCTCTCTCGGTCGATCGTAGATTGACCGTTAGAAAAGCTGGTTGAGATTCCTCGGGAACTATGCCACCTTTCAGTGAGTTGTTTCCGTCGACTATACTTCCATTCTGTCGTCGACTATGGAAGAATCTGAAAGCACAGGACGCTAGGAAGACCGAGTACATACGTATTTGGGTACTCTGTCAGCTCCCAGTCAGTTTCCAATCAAATTTTCCCTTTTATTTTCGAGAGAAATCAGTTCCAATTATATATCGTCGGATTCATTTACGTGTGACGAATCGACCAGTCACGAGATCCATCCCAGTGCCAAGATTAAGTCGTAGTCGTTTGTTGCATTTGCATTCCAGGCAGCCTGTCTCATTGCCTCTTCGACGCTGACACATCACTGTCAGCTTCTCGCGATCCGAATACATCATTAAAACAACGTCACCGGTCGGAAGATCCATTCCGTCTTCTCTCCGCGTTGTACCATTAGAGTGGAACGCAGAATCGATCGTTAAGCTCGTTTAGCGGCAAAGTGGTCCAATTACAACCGCTACCCGCTCACTGTGAGCTTTTTACCTCGTCTGAAAACCACGTTGATCGTTCCGTTGAATTTTTCTCGCCGTCGTTCCCTTTTTTTTTTTTTTTGGGTCACGCTGTATACGCGCAGCATTATTCTCCCGTTTTCTTGGCGGATTTACGACCTCCTCGGGTCTTCCGTATCAGTCGCTACTCGATAACATGCTCCACATTCGTTTCCTTGTTTCTTCCAGTACAGGGTTTCTCAAACAGCGATCGGTAAGCTCTCAGAAATGGAGGAAGCATAACTTTAGAGCCGAATAAGAGTAAGAGACTCCATCTTTCTCAAAGTGATTTTATTCGACTCTGGTCGGTAGGTTGCAATTCGTCCGGACTTCCCACGTCGAAGAACGAGCTTTTTACCGCTAAAAAACCAAATAATCACGTAGTCACCCTCAATCGACCGCGACACGCACGATAGAGGAACAGCAATTGCCTGTGCATGTTTTCTTCCATTTGTCTTTCTATCTTCGTACGCAGTCGACACGCATTATGGGAGCCTGATTTGGCACGCGCATCAGGCACTTAGTTTCTGGTGCGATTTCCTCGACTCTATCTCGCAAAGACTATTCTTCGAGTTAATTTTTCACCGACAACAGACCGTCCGTATATTGAGTTGTCCGAAAAGTTTCTTTCGCTTTATTAATAAGTAATACGTGCGCAATATTAATATTTTATGTTTTATGTTTTATGTTACATTACTGAATTGCGCACGATTCATTTTGCTCCATTATTGTTACGACATGAATATATTCATATATATATATCTATGAAATTAGATTGTCTATTTATATAAACACGACCACATCAAATAATCGAGTGCAACTCGCGAAAGAGACTTTCGTCCAAGTTAAATTTCGAATAGCACACCTTTCGTTGCTGGGTAATGCTCGAGCGTGATTCGACTATGCAAACAACAACAGGAATAACGTTATAAATAGCAATTCGGTTGCTTGCCGCCGCACCACCTCCATCGCCGCTAAAAATAGCGATTCGCACAGGAAACCTTTTTCTCTTTCGATAAATTCAGAAGAAAGTCTCGAAACGTCGAGAATTTCTTCGACGTTGATAGCTCTTCATTTTCCGAGGTAGAGTCGAGTCGAGACATTTAGATTGCGTACCTACATGGACTCATCGTAGAGGGTGGATTCATGGTGTTCGAATCGAGGACTCGGAGTTTCTACCTAACCTAGAATCATAAATAATCGAACGTAAAGGCACGTATTTAATTTCTACACCAAATGTACAAGCATCTCTATTAATAATATGTCTAGTAGAAAGACCCCGGTATACATGCGTGGATTGTGTAACAGAGAGTCGAGATAGAGCGAGAGTGCAGCGCCGTTTCGGTTTCGGCCGCTGTGCTGCAGCTCTACAACCACATCGTAGCTCGCTGCAACTCGCTACAGCACCGTGACTCTAGTCGTCATCTAGTCGCCGCGCGTACCGTGTCTGTATTCTATCTCCAGTGTTTTCCGTTGAATTCTCGCGCGTGTGTTCTCTCCTTGCATCGAAATCCATTAATCGAAATCTCTCTTTTTCGATCCGTTCCGCCGTTTATTCTCTCGAGTTAGGTTTCCATCGCGCCACGTGTCAATCGAAACGATCCTATGCGAAAATTCCATGCTCTTAACTCGTATTATTTGGTGGTATCGAGCGTATAGAGAACTTTGTTTCGAATCGAACGATCGAAAGTCTGTATACCTTTAGTTCCCTCGAGTCTTTTGTGTGTGCACGGGCTTCGAAAGAGGCGCGTCTCTTCTTTCGCAACAAGTTGGGCGACTTTATTCTTACCCACTTCTGGTTGTCTTCGCTGTGGCCAGTCAAGGTCGCACGGACGATCGTAGGGAACTGTTGTTACTCGAGCCACGAAAACTGGTAGAGAAGAGAAATATATATACCTCGCGTTTCGACGTTGGAAAGTCGAGTATAAATATCGTTCCCGGTTGTCGTCGCGTTATCACTCACGTGCGCGCGCGCGCGCGCATCGTGCCCGATGCACGCGTTATACAACATGCTCGGAATGTGCGGCGTAAATATAAGTGGGGTTCCAGTGGCGTAACGATCGAATCTAGGGCCCAGCTGAAATACAGGGTGTCCCAAAAATGTTGTAACACGTTGAAAGAGATGGTTCGGGAGGTGATTTGAAACAACTTTTTCCTTAGCGAGAATGTTGTCCGAGGCTTCGTTGAGGAGATATTAACGGGAAACCTCGACCAATCACAGCGCGCGTATATCGTTGGAGCGGCCGCGGTAGCGAAGACTACGAGCCAAGCGGCCGCGTCCAATGTCCTTCGATGCACGTCGAGTCGCTTGTTCGCGTACAAGCGCGGCCGCTTAGCTCGTAGTCTTCGCTACCACGGCCGCTCCAACGGTATACGCGCGCTCTGATTGGTCAGTGTTTTTCGTTAATATCTCCTCAACGAAGCCTCGGACAACATTCTCGCTAAGGAAAAAGTTGTTTCAAATCACCTCCCGAACCATCTCTTTCAACGTGTTACAACATTTTTGGGACACCCTGTATACGATAGACGACGAGTATAACCAACTCTCGTTTGCCCATCTTTACCAGATTCTATATTGAATTCCTGCACACGGCCGTCTTCAAGGTCGTAATTGTGTAACGACGTTAAGAGACGCGGTCTGCTCGGCAGACATAGCGTGAATTGCAGTTGTCGCTCGTGGCCGGTAGTGATGTCCGACAGCGGTCAAACGGCGTCGCGAGAAATCGCTTGTTTTCCGTGAGTTTCTTTCGTACGCTTCGGTTTTATCTCACGGCCGTCCACGGTCGATCTCTCTCCATTATGTAACTCGATCGTCGCTGTAATTGACTCGAGTTTATTAATCGATCCACGGTCTGTTCGGGGATACAGACGAACATTTTCGAGACTCGGAACGATTGCATAATGCGCGCGAATCGTAATTCACCACGTCGGTAACGTCGGCCGACTGCGTCCAACGGTTCGGATATGGTCCATTCCGTTCCTCGATTTGATGTGCATCGTGCAAAGTGCGGTATTCCGTCGTTTGTGGTCGTAAAATAAAAGTATTTCAATCATTTTTATTTTCGTTTGAAGTAAGGTTGGAACCACCGAAATCACGAGTCGCGATTGTGCAAATAACCTGTGTCTGTATCATAGCTGCACTATACCTGCTGCACTCTCGAGTGCGTCGTCGCGTGTTTCGACGTTTTCGACTGGAAATTTTAATGCCCGGTAATAATCGTCTGTGCGTCGAACATAAATAATCGTGACCGTTGAACCGTGAGATACGTTCGAACGGGAAATATAAAAAACGTGATAATAAATCGTTTATTAATGGTAAATAAATGAGAAGCGCGAAAAGATTTATCGCACGTGGTAACGCGTGACGTAATCCGACGCAGACCGACTAAACACGTGTACAGGGATGACTTTTATCGATAGTTAACGATTTAAGCGATTCAAGCGATTTCAATAATCGAACTTGACTCGCGCGTGCGACGTCGGGAAATGTCGTTGAATCGATTTTCATTTTTTTTTCTTTTTATTTTTTTTGCGAAAACAAGGTTTTTAATTAGACGCGTTCAGGTGTTATATTGGGTGTAACTAACGAGCGCGTCCCGACGCCAGGAAGTCGCAGCGCCCGAGAACAGTCGCCTATTATTAGAAACGTCTCTTCTCCTCGTTCCACTCTCTTTAACCCGTCGGCCACGTCGTGACTTTCGGATTTCTCTACTCGAAAATTCGATAGTATAAATAAAAATGAATTTAAACAGTCGAAACGAAGAACTCGGGCAAGTTAAAGTGCGCGAGGGTTGCAGCTAAAGATACCGTTTCGTAACGTAACCATAATAGCGGGATGATTATAAGGGGTTATGAGGGTTGGGGGGCGGGAGGGGGAGGGGGAGGGGTGCAAACCGTACAGCGAAGGAAGGCAACACGAGAAACAGAGCAAACGAGAGAAAGCGTGCACGAACGAGAGAGCTAAACGGAAGCGAGCCAATATGAGATTACAGGGCAGTTGGGGCTCGTGCCAGATGCGCGTTTACACGGGCCGTGAATGCTGTAAATGCACTATCTGGTACGACATCTCTCCTGTCGCCGCCACCAGTAACACCGAGCTGCTGCTTTTCGGCGGTGCGACGTAAAAAACAAAAAAAAAAAAAAAAAAAACAAAAAAAAACAGTAGAGTTTTTTTATTACACTTCGAGCCAATTTTCAACCATTCGAGCCACAGGTCACCGTTGCTCTCTAAAGTTATTAATCCGATTCGCCGTTATTCGGGATTCCTTTCTGTGTCGCGCCGATTATTCACGGTGGCTCGAAGAGATAAACGTCGTAATGGAACTCGTAGCATATTAACGTTCTTTAAATGATCCGCGATTTTCGTTGACACGTTCGCAGCCCCTCGTCCTCGCGACTTTCGTTGGAACGAATAACAGCGAATTCGATTGCGATAACTTCATTCCTGGCGTGTTGATAATTCCACGGGCAGCGAACGTGTTAAGGTCGATTTATAATATCCGCACAGACCCGATACGGTTCCGTGTCGACACAGACACGAGTGTTTCTATTATACATACGTTCGTCGATCGGTGGTACCGATCAGTCAGTTAACAGAAAGCGTTTCGTAAAAGGCGCACGCAATAGCGCGAATAGGAAAAATGTTTGCACATTTAAGTGTGCGAGATTTTGTCCGAACGGAACCGAAACATATGCATATTGTCAGCGCCGACACCCGATAAAGTATTCTTCGCAAGAATGTCGGATGACCGGACCGATGTCGGTAGGTGTCTGTGCTGATACGATACGATATGTATAAACACCTATATACAAATTGCGTTATAGAATACTTTTCTGATCGGTGCTGAAACGGATACGTTCCGGGTATGTGCGGATAGTTTAAATCGACCTTTAATCGGTTGCCCTAGACACTGGTACTTGTGCGAAAGAAAAGTTGCGATTTGCAATGGAAAACTCCCGTCGTCTTCCGAGGGCTAATTACATGAATCGTCGTAAAAAGAATGAAGAACGGGGTGGCTCGTGTATAAAACGGGTGGCTAGCCCGACGACGATACCGCGATGATCAACGAGGGTGCAGATCGCGTGTGTTTGTAAGTTCGCGTCTCTATCCTCGTCTCTGTATCATCCCAGCAGAAAAATCCACACGTCGACGAGCGAGATATCCGACCTGTCATTGAAAAACGTTACGGAGACGCAATGTCACGTTGCGTCACGTACAAGGAACAATTGGATACGCGAAGAACACGGATCGCTTTACGTCCATAAAGTGTATCGTGTTCTGTTCCGGTATCGTGTAATGCTATACGAACTAGCGTGTCATCCGATCATCCGTTGCACGGCGGAATCTGTTTATTCGAGCGACCTGTGAAATCGCAGATCGACGATTCTTAAATAATACAAATCCACGGGACAGCTTGCAGCGAAAAAGCCTCGCACGGATGTTAATCTCGAGTAGCTAGTAGTCCTTTTTACTACCCCGGGGCAAATATACATTAATAAAAGTGTATCGCAACGGATCATTCGAAAATTGCTTACGATAGAATTGTTTACGATAGAATTAACAGCGTCGATAGCTTGTAGTAATACCTTGTTGACTTATCGTAATGTTAATACGTTCTCTCGAGCTGTACGATAACAACATTCTTGCAGTAAATATTAATTTCGAAATCCTGCGGTAAATCCTTAGTAAAATTGACCGACGCACCTGGTAGTAGTCCAAGATTAAAGATCCTCCAATCCCACAGCGCGGATCGTACCAGATTGCACGTGTCCGAGTGTGTATGTGTATGTGTGTGTATGTGTGTGTGCGTGTGCGTGTACCAGCGAGTTAAAATTGGATCGTAGTACGAGATTGCGAAATTCTAATCTAAAACTAGAGTGTAGAGCACCCGCTGTAGAAATCGCGAAACACGTGCAAAAGTTATCCCAAGCATAACCGTTTGTGATTTTATTTATAATAGGACAAACCTGTACGATTCGTTAGGTTTATACGACCTTACTTAACATTCCAAGCTTTGCAGGCCATCGACCTCGAAATACATGATAATTTGGAACGCGAGAATAATCTTGAAATCGTCCCTGCTAATGTAAGAATGTAATCTTCGTAGATACTCGAATTACACGCACAAATGTATCTTGCTACGTTTTCACGAAGCCACACGTTTCAATAAAATTGACGTCGTTGTAAATCGAGTACGAGAACAACCCGTGTATCGGGAGAAGGCTACAGAGAAAATATAAATTCTTATGTAAACAAGAATTTCGTCCGTCTCTGATGTCGTACGATACTCAAGATGGCCGTGGACGAAGCAAAGCAAAATAGAAGAAAGGTACACAGCAATGTCGGTAGTAGGTAAATAGTAATGTACACGCTCGCACAATATCTACGACGTAAGCGCGAGAAACGGAAAACCTGCGTTTTGTCGCGTTAAATTTAAGGTGTCGCTCTAAAAAAAAAAAAAAGCGTTAACGAGCAGTGGTACAACTAAAAGTAGTACAACTAAAAGTAGTACAACTAAAAGTTCCCCGTTCGAAATTTCTGGCTGTGCACCACTGTCATCGAGTCACGCGAAAATCGACGCAGGATTCTTTCTGGACGCTCCCAGCGTGTTGTTGTTGTTTTTTTTTTCTGCTGTTCGTAACGTAAACACATGCGTTGTCGGAATGCTGGATTTCTCGAGATAGCCTCGCGTTGAAAAAAAGAATCGGTCGAGTTCGCTTGCGGTCGTGGTGTACGCGCTAGAGCCTTCGTTCTCCGTTGAAAAACCTGTATCGCTGAAACAATATTATAGTTTTCAGTGGTATTCAAAGTGCTCTATAAGAATGTTTCGCAATCGATAGAAATCCAAGCGACGAACAGTTTCTCGTGTTAATCGCGTCCACAGATGGCACCACGTACGCCGATGCGCCCTTATCGCGATTATTCGCGTTTTCGCGGGAACGAAAATAATGGGCGTGCATTTTTCTCGCATATAACCTCACATCCAGCCGTCGTCTTTACACCTTGGTAACAGAGACGAAGCGAGGGAAGTTACTTGGATTCCGATGCTGATCGTGGACAAATCTTTCGAGTCCCTTAAATAACATCAATTCGATCATTTTCCAGCCTCGTCGACATCGTCTTTCGCCACGGCATCGTTGTAATTGTAATGACCAATAAATATCATTCTTGTACATCCCTCCCATCATTTCATTCCATACCGTCGTCTGCGAAAGTAGCTTCACTTGCAAAGTCTATTTCGGTGGGTAGAATTATTCTTAACTTATTTATTTTATTTTTTTTTTTTTTTCTTTTACTTTATTCGCAATGTGCAGTTTCTAGCACGAATAAATTAAGCTCATTGTCAATGTCGCTTGGAAGTTCGGTATTATCGATATTGGAGAAGTTTAATATAGAGACGAAGTTAAATCGCCGGAGGGGGCATGGTAGGGGCCGATAGACGGGGTACAAACTCTCAGAATACTTGGGTTAAAAATAATCAGCTCTCACTGGGATGGTCGGAAATTCGGGAGCAAGGTCAATCGATAGCGTCGCGACTTCCTAAACATATGCACAAATATTCGGCTCGTATCGCGACCGTTTTAATTAACCTACCAGATAAATTCTTGATACGTAATTTCAAATTAATTTTTTTAAAAACTGCAATTTATTAACAAGTTATAAAAACCGTCAAGAATTTAGACAAGACATTATTGCGTCGCATTGTTCGCAAGATATTGTTTGCGCCGAGTAACTCGGTTGCAGAAAGTCACGGGAATTAGATAAATAATCGGAAGGGGACGCAGTTTATTTTAATCATCGCGCGAGCGTTAAGTTACATTTCACTTTGTAATGGTGTTACTAGAAATACCACGTCCGCGACACCGTGCGAGATTTTATGTAAATGAGCCAGACGGTAAGAGCGATTGTACTTCTTAAATATATACGTTGTATATTTTTTTTATACGAAATATCTGCGTCGTCATCGAAACCAAGGACGAGCCGTGACGTATCGTATCGAATCCCCGATACCAGGAAGGAACTATTAATCGCACTCGCACCGAACGAGATGACGTGTCACGCGGAAGAAGGAGGAACCAAGAACGTGGAAATCCTTGGGCGAAACATTTTTGCGATTGGCATGTTGGCAGTGTGGTTAGCTGGTTGTGTGGTTAAATCGTATACACGACCGCTATCGGCACTGCAATTATATGCCGATCGCGGATCTACGATCAAAATCGACGATCAGAGACCAGATCACCGAGAGTCACGAAACTCGACAAGCTTCGAATAAAGAATGTTACCGCTTAAAATGACACCGAATTTGTAAACAAACGTAAACTATCCCGAAGAGGACTGGCAATTATTATTGCGGCCGAAACGTCGTTAGAAAATTATTAAAATTCGTAGAAAGAAACGTTCGAAATATCTAACATATTGATTTCATAATGAAATTTACAATACAAGAGCAAAACTAGATGATACATTTTCATTGGAAAATACAAGCTTACATCGACTAATATTCGCCTTTTCCTTCTGTTGCAGGTCTGCCTACGTATCGTTCGGAGGACTGCTGATGAGGTTACAGGGTGACGCAAACAACCTACACGGTTTCGAGATCGATCAGCATATGTACCTACTCATGAAGAAACTCGCGTTCTAACTGCGTCGCGCGTCGCAGCGTGACTTAGAAAAACTTCTATTTTAAATTATTTTTCTTTTTAGATTTGCGAGTAGTTGAACATTGAGACAACTTTAGAGAAATACGACGATTCGACGCCACTCCTCAGACATTACTGCCGCAGTCGTTTCTAAGACTGATTAATAAAGATATTTTTCCATGTTGATATCTAATTCCGACTTATTTGGTGTACAAATATATAAATATATAATGTATATATTGTGTATTTGTATGCTGACATATATTATTAATACATGATGTATGTATTATGCATTTATATGTGAATGTATAACATAAAATGTATATAAATATAGAGCACAACGATTCCCCCTCAGCTTCCTCTTCCTCAGGGATGCGCCCAAGTATTTTAAAGGTTGATCATTTTATAAAATATAGGAAACAATAGGTGAAATGGAACAGTAGCTACTACATTATTTTTATTTTCAGAAGCACCAATGAGCACACGCATCCCTTGCCTTGCTACGGTCCTGTCTCCTCCTCCTACAAGTACAAACGAGTTCCTAGTTTCATACTATGTGCTGCAGTCGACCTAGCTGAATCGGTGAAAATCTAAACGAAATTTTCCTATGCGCCTTCTTCAACGTAATTTCTTCCCTTGGCGTCAGAACGGGAAATTCCCCGAGCAATCAGTCGACTGCATTGCGGATTATCGACTGCATTCGATAACTAAATGGAAATGGTAAATGGTTGGATACGTTATTGAATTTTATCGAACCAAGTAGTAGTTAAGTAGTCGCTTTTCAGAAACTGATGCAAACCCTTTCGTTTCAACAATAAATATACTTGATATGTTTCAAATAGCATTGAAGCGTGCAGGTCGAATATTAGAATATAGTTCCTTGCGTTGCGCGCGTGAAACGCCATTTTGGAGAACGCAGCCAAAGGCGAAGTAAGCGATCCAATTCATAGGAGCGAACGTTAGGCATCGCCAGAAGGGGAAGAACCAAGAGCTAATTTATGTAATTAAACTCACGGTATGCCTGACCTTGTACAGCTAAATGTGAACCGATCGAGGCTGGCTCGAACAATATGGCATAAGTGCACTTGGCGTGGGCTCGTCCACATCGCCAACATGGCGGTGGATTGCATAACGCATTGCTCTGCAACATGGCTGCCCACTTAATAAGGGTCTGATCCTAAATAGATTGGCCCAATGACATGTAATTCGTTTTTATTTGGCCGCCCGTGGTAGGTTGCGCAACGTTTACAACCGCCAGCGACCAATGGAGACGGAGAGAAATCGATAATCGTAGGCTAGGAAAGTACTGCCAGCTCTCGGTGTCGCCGTGAAGTTATACTTTACGGTCTGCACTTGGATAAATTGAACGCTACTTACCGTATCCTTTTATTTAGTTCTTGACGATACTACAGAAGTCGGATACAATTTTTTTTTTTTAAATTTTGATATTAGAGTAATACAATGATTTCGTTTCTGAAGTGATTTATTATACTATTAACCGATTAGAAAAATTGTATAAATTAGGACAATCGATATTTACAAGCGTGTGGAATTGATGCTGCAACGACAAAAGGCAAAAAGCCTCCATCGACGTTTCTCTTTAACTTCTAGATTAACAATATATGGTTAAACGATGACACGTAACGTTTACAATCGATTTCAAACGTTTCGTTAGAAAGTATTGAGTTTCGTGGTGATAATGACTCTTATACACTGATCAAATGCAGTGCAAACAGCCAGTCCTTGTTTGTCCGGGCTCCAGTCCAAAGAACTAACGGGTTGGGACGAAAGAGTAGTATTTTGTAGAAGACTTAGATTACCCACGACTCCGTGTTCTATACCGTCGGCGTCCGCGACTTTTCTTTTTTCTGGATAATTGCTAAAATAATAACATAAGATAAGATACTTGTCTGGTAAAGTAATCACGATAAAAAAATATATAGGTTATATTTACTATTTCCACAGGCAAAGACTTCCTCCTCCGCCACAAGTAACAAATATTTCGCGATTTTGCGGCAAATGTCTGACCAACCATACTGTTGAATTATGTGCCTGCAAATAATATCGTAAAATTCTAACCTCAAAGTCAAATATCGAATTTTGTTTTTACAATTTATCATTGTACCTTTTCGGTAAGATACGAGAACCCCTTTTTAGGGTGTTGTGTCTTTAAATCGAATAAGTAAAACTTTGATTCCAAAGTGGTCACTACTAATTTATTCATTGGAATATCTTTCCTATCAAATTCCAGACTACAAATACCATTTTTAAGATTACTCTCCCACAGAAGAGACATTGCTTTTAAATCGAACATTTTTACATCTCCATTGTCGTAACCAGCAGCTACAATTCTTTCCTCTGAATTGTATGAATTTCCAAACGTAACTGCCCAACAATCTCTACGTGCTTCACCTTCCTTAGGTTCCATTACAGCTACCGGGCGTCCTTTCTGTCTAGGATCCCAAACTTTAACACTTCCATCTCTGGAACCGGTTACTAATTCAGGTGCACCGCATCCAATGCTCTGTCCAGCTACACCATCAATACTATTTATGATCTCATTGTGAGCATTGGTGGTATAAATTGGTATAGAAGGATCTTCAAGATTGTAGATATTTAGTTTACCCTAATAAAGGTGGCTTTAAGTCTTCTGAATACAAGAACAACAACTCGTTAAAATAAGTTTATCGGCTCATACAATTTTGATAAACTTTTGATAACCGTCAAGTCAAATATTTGTACTTATACCTGAAAGTCACCAGCCGCCAGATATCTGTCTTTTAAACTGGAGGCTCTAAAAGTTCCACATTTCACTGGTTGTGATCGTTCGATGTCTTTAATGAGTTTTAACTCTCCATTAGACACTTCGTAAATTTGTATGATACCGCTACCACGCGGTCGCGAACCCATTACCACAAACTTCGCACTGCACGGTATCCATTTTGTATCAAATAAGGAGTAATTTACTGATTTCTCAATGTGACAAATTATCTGAGGTTTCTCGAGTTTCTCCATGCTTCTCAAAATTAACTTTCCAACCCAACGATCCGATTTGTAGACGAAATTTGTGGCGTGACTGTGACAACCCGTTTGAAGTATCAGTAAACAAATCTGACTACCATCTACCGTGAGGTATTCAAAAACAGCATCGCGGTAGATTCGAGAAATTAATTTTGTCGTTCGTAAAAAAATACAAATTTTAATAAATCTTCACGCGACAATGATACACAAGTGATTTAATGATACATAAGTTATAAATCTACTCCAATAATTTGTCTATACCTGCTCGTAATATTTTCTTAACCTTTTTATATTATCTTTATAACAATTTCTGTTGAATTGCACATTGTAGAATATTTGCCTTATCTCTGCATTCAATTTTCGACTCGTATCTATCGTAAATCTATTTATTAGCAGTCGGATACTCTACTCATTCAGTCATAATTTACGAAAAAACCGGTAGCGGGATGGTATTGGCATCTGTGGCCATCTAGCGAGTAATGAACCAAACTATTTTTCGTCGTTATCAGTTCATTGATATCAATAGACGAAAGGAAAGAATCGGTCAGTGCTTGTCAACATAACCCTACTTCTACGGCTAATCGTTTGAAAATAATTTCTGACGTCCAATATTTGTTAATATCTTATTTATAGTATGTTTTTGTGCAGTGTTTTACATGATGATCTCAAAGATACCAAGTGATTAATACAAATGTTATCTGTTTATGTCACGTAATATTTGTATTTTAAAAACATGAATGCGAAGGTTAATACAGTTACAGAGGTATGTGTTTTTTAATTTAATTAAGTAATTATACGTACTCGAAATAATACTATACCGTTCTCTTAATATTTTTGCTTTACAGTTTCGACTCAAGTCGTCGCCTATTTGGCCTGATGTTCAGAATGTATTGAGAGAATATATTATATGCATTGACAATCTTCCGATATATCATCTGAATAACGCGCAATGTTATTGGCCAAGAGAACGCGATGTTTTGTCCATTTTGGACTTTGATTTAGCACCGCCTGGCACTACGCTAAAATTTGATCGTGATCCTGTTACCGGAGAACTTGGGAAAATGCATGAAGTTCTTGTGGCATCAGCTGGAAAAAATGCGCGAAATTCAATGTCCATGACCCGTGCACCAGGGCCCGTTACAGATGATATTAGAGGTATTCCATTTAATAAATTATGTAACTATTAATATCAATACATTTTTAAATAAATGATGAATATTGTTCATAGGAAACACTAGTAATATTCCATTTTGGCCGGGTGGCTTTGATGAACCTGAGATGATAAACCATTCATCAATCGAAGATATAGACTTTGAGAATAATTTAAGAACCTTAGCAAAAGGATTCAGCTCTGGTTTAGAATTTAAAAGTGACAATTACACTCCAAAAAGGGGAACAATGCAAGAAGATTACGTACCTGAACCTGAGAAGAATGAAATAGAAAAAATACCAGATAAGATTAATTTAATGGAAATAGTAAACGACGAGCGAAATGTACTCGATATCTGGTCACCGGCGGAGGAAATAAAGACGGAGCAAAAAACTGCGAAATCGTCGGATATTCAAGAATCATCATTCGACGAAGTTACTCCTTTATTAGACAAACTAGATATTCCTATTTTGAAAATCTCGGAAACGCCTGGAAAGAACACAAAATCGGAATGGGCAGAGCAAGTGGATGTGTCTGTTCCATTAACTGATTTCAATAAACGCATCCCTGATCCCGCACTTAGTTTTCCTTACGAATTGGATACTTTCCAGAAACAGGCAATTCTTAAGTTAGAAGAAAACTGCAATGTATTCGTTGCTGCTCATACATCGGCTGGAAAAACGACGGTAGCGGAATATGCAGTTGCACTAAGCCAGAAGCATATGACAAGGTAAATTTGATAATCTTAGTAAATCGATCTCGGTACTAATTATATTTCTCTTAGGGTTATTTATACATCTCCTATAAAAGCGCTCTCGAATCAGAAATATCGCGAATTTAAAAAAAAATTCGAAAGCGTCGGATTGTTAACAGGAGACTTGCAGATCAACTCAAATGCTTCGTGTCTTATTATGACCACAGAAATTTTACAATCTATGTTGTATTGCGCTTCGGATGTTTTAAGAGATTTAGAGTTTGTTATCTTCGACGAGGTGCATTATATTAATAATGACGAAGTGAGTAAAGACTTCGTAGAATTTATCGTACTAGACAAATCTTTGATTAAAGAAAAACAAATGTTTTTAGCGTGGTCACGTTTGGGAAGAAAGTGTTATTCTATTACCAAAAACAGTTAACATAGTAATGTTGTCCGCGACGGTGCCAAATCCATTGATATTTGCCGATTGGGTTGGTCGTACCAAGAAAAAAAAAATGTACGTGATAAGCACTTTGAAAAGACCGGTACCGCTGCAACATTATTTATATACTGGAACCGATGGCAACACCAAAAATGAGAGATTTTTAGTATTAGACGAAAGTGGTAAATTTTCGTTGGATGGGTAACTATCGCTACCATTTAATTATAATTGCGCATACATACGACTAATCTATAAATATTTCATGTAATATTAACTATCGTTAATCTAGATGGTATGCAGCAACGAAGGCGAAAGATACGAACAAAAATAATTCTAAAAATGTTACAAATTTTAAGAACAAAAAAATGACACCAAAACAAGAGCAGGTGTTATGGAATGCTTTCGTTAGTCACCTTAAAAGTAATGTAAGATCCAAGTATTTATATTTAAGAGATAATATTATCTATTTATCCAATACAATCGATTAAATTTGTTTATTTCAGAACATGTTGCCTGTCGTTGTCTTTATGTTATCGCGAAAACGTTGCGACATGATTTCCGTTTTATTAAGGAACATCGATCTCACCACCGAAACCGAGAAACATACCATTAGAACTTTTTTCCAGAATAATATTAAGCATTTGAAAGGTACCGATAGACAATTACCGCAAGTTCTCATGATGCAAGAATTGTTGCAAAATGGCGTTGGCATACATCACAGCGGTATATTACCGATTTTAAAGGAAATAGTAGAAATGCTTTTTCAAAGCGGGGTTGTAAAATTGCTATTTGCAACAGAAACATTTTCAATGGGTGTAAATATGCCAGCGCGAACGGTGGTCTTCGATTCCATCACAAAGTTCGATGGCAACAGTTTTCGAATACTTTATCCCACCGAATATATACAAATGGCTGGTCGCGCCGGTCGTAGAGGTCACGATACGGCAGGAATGGTTATAGTTTTGTGTCGTACATCGGTACCACATTTCCACGAGCTGAATACCATGATGTGTGGTCAAGCACAAAATTTAGTATCCAAGTTTAAAGTAACGTACTCCATGGTTCTAAATTTAAGGAGGGTAAACGAATCGGTGACAGTCGAGGCAATGATGCGCAGATCCTTCAAAGAATCGTCATTAGTTTTGAAGCATAATACTATTAAAGCTGAATTGGAAAAAGTAGTAGACGAACTATTAAAGTTACCAGATTTAACTGATTTACAAAAAAAACTCTGCAAATTCTATCAGCATGCCATCGATTATTTAGAATATCTTAGGTATTTGAAACCTATCTTGTACGAAACTCAGAAGAAAGCAGTAAAAACTTTAATACCTGGTAGGATTTTGCTTATATCGTACTCAAACCATTATAATAAATTGGCTCTGATGTTGAGCACTGTTCAGAGTAAAAGTGGTAGACAATACAGGGTGTTGGTTCTTAATTCTGAAAAATTGAAATCTACCGAGGATAATCCGTGGGAAGCAGTCAAGTTTAAGAACTCAGAAAAATGGCATGACATGGTTGCTTTAACTATAAAAGAGACATTTGTGCCAGTTGGAAATGCAGATGGTGAAGTGTTGATTATATCTGCATGGCATATATTGGAAATAACTAATTGCCAAATTAAAATAGATTACAATTTAGTTTTGGCAAACTGGGAGAAAAGGCAAATATCGAGATTTAGGTAAATGGTTAACTTTGTAGAATTTTCCATTTTGGTTCAAACAGAAAAATTAAATAAGTATATAAGAGGATTAAGTTAATACCATTTTTAGGGACGAGGCTCCAAGTGCAACTTTCTCTTCGGCAGTGCAACAATTGGTGACATTATCGTTGAATGCTGCCCGGGATCCTTCTATTTTACAACCTTACACGAAAATAAAATTTGACTACGATAATACCCTGTTCAAGTTAAAGAGTGCCGTTTACAATATGAAATGCATAGAAATTTCAAATTTTCAAGAACAATTCGAAATCGTATTTGAACGAAGCGAATTAGAAAGTAAGAAAATGAAACTTCAACTTCAACTTAGCGACGAAGGGTTGAGTCTTTATCCCGATTATACAAATGCCGTGGCCCTTCTTAAAACCTTAGGATACATAGATGACGACGAAAGAGGTTAGTTTCGAGTAAAAATCATCGGTATTGTTAAATTATAAATATATATATTTTCCAGTTGCATTAAAAGGTCGTGTTGCGTTAAAAATGGGAAGCAACGAATTATTAATTACAGAACTTATTCTGAAAAATGTATTGACGGTACTTCAACCAGCTGAAATAGCGGCATTGTTATCTACCTTGATATTTCAACAACGAACAGACGTTGAACCAAAGCTTACCCCAGAATTGAAAAAGGTATCCTTTATTTGTGCAATATGATAGTTTACATTAAATGTTCTACTCTGACAAATATATATATATATATTTTTTGATCGTTCCTGTTTCAGGGGTGTGAAGTAATACAAAAAATATACGCCGAGTTAGAATGTTTAGAACAACATTATCAATTAGCTACGTTACAACAATTGAATTTCGGATTAGTGGAAGTGGTGTACGATTGGGCGCAAGCAAAATCGTTTGCCGAGATTATGGAAAAAACGGATGTACAAGAAGGGATAATAGTACGATGTATTCAACAGCTTAGCGAAACGTTAAGGGATGTTAAAAATGCAGCCATCACTATCGGCGATCCCGTTTTAAAGGAAAAGATGGAAGAAGCTTCTACAGCTATTAAGAGGGATATTGTTTTTACCGCGTCTTTATACACGCAAGATTAATCACGAGACGAAACTTATGTACAAATGATATTTTATTTGATCACTTTCAGAAATTTCGATCATTGATAAGTGTGGGTATATTTTTATAACTTATACATCGTTCACAAAGCATACGTTATTCAGAAGTCTGCTGTATGATATTTTTTTTACTATAATCGTAAAGTATTGAATTTTAATCTTATCTTGTACATTATAATTGTTTACATGTGTACATACGATAAGAGTACGAACATAGAATAAGAATGTTATAAACACGGAACAATTGTTTTAATTTACAATGAATATCGGTACAAAATAGTATCCTATATTTTATTTTCCAATTTTATAGCGCACGCTGATCAGCGTTATTAAGGTTTCCTTGACCTTTGTTCGTCTCGGAAATGCACGTCCACTGTCCTTCGGTGTTTTCACGCCAAAGAGTTACTTTATTATCTCCACCGCTAACTGCTAGAATACCTCCAGTTAACGACCAACTCACATTCCAAATTACATCATCGAAGACGTTCAGAATAGTCGGTGTCCAACTGGAATAATCGTTCGAAGTCCATACGATCACACGACGATCTTGGGAACAAGAAGCTAGAGCAGCCTTAGATGGTCCAACCGCAGGCGCCCATGCTACGTCTCGTACCTACAATTGAATGTTTACACAGGCAAAGACTTTATTTACCACACATATTAATAATCATACTTTTTAAATTCAATAGATAACAGGAGGCTCACCCAATCGCTGTGCGCTTCGAGTTTATCTTCTTCCACCCATCGATCGCCTTCGTCTTTCCAAATTTTAACTAAATTATCACAACCTCCTGTGGCTAATCTTTTCACAGTTCCATTCCTCTGAATTCCACTGGCATCAAAGCTGGGTTCGATAGCTGGACACCAGCTCACTGCATTACAACCGATAGTATGGGCATTTGGAATCTTTTGAGTGTCCCATGTGTCCCCATTATTAGTGAGAATAGATAAAGAACCGTCGGAGCTACCGCAAGCAAGAATCAGGCCAAATTCGTGCGGTGCCCATGCTACCGAATTAACAGAAGAATCATGGCCGGTGTGTTCATAAATTTTTGTCCATTCTCCTAACTCCTTCCAAATAATAACCTTTCTATTAAACAAAATAATATCGAGTGACTTTTAAATAACATATTAATAAGCTTAAGAAAAACGTCGTGGCATACCTATCGTAACTGCAAGATGCTAAGAGATTTCCAAACTTTGGATGTGCCCAAGCAACTTGCCACACAGGTCCAACGTGTCCTTTCAGATCGGCTACTAAACTTTGCGATCCATTCTTCAAATCGAATATTTTTACCGAATTGTCACTGGAACAAGTCGCTAACCTCAAACCATAATAATCCATTTCCGCATCGTGGATCATATCCTCGTGACCGGTGTCGACAGTGTTCAACACGGATACCATTTTTAATTTTGTCTTATTCAAATTTCTGTACAAATATTCGAAAAATTGCGAACGTGCTAACGATCAATCAGAGATCGTGGAATAAGGTTATGTTGTTCAGTGTCTGTCACATACGTGGAAGCATGTGCGCATCGATGGCTGAGGCACAGCTATTTCGCGCAGATCGCGTGTAACTGTCAATTTTGTTAAAAGTTGAATTTAAACGAAATTCATATCATACTTGCAAACAACTCGTTCTCCTTATACGAGTCCATAATCAAATATGAAATTTCTCGAACGATATAATTTCTTAATCAAGCAAAAGTAAACGTAAAATTTTCATGAAATTCGACTTTTTGTAATATTTCGAGGACATCTATCGATCACTTCTTCCGATACTAGTTAGCTAAGTTTCAAACCAGAATCGCTCAGAGTACTTGTATGTACCGTGTCTAACGTCTGTAATGCAACAATCTTCGCGAGTTCATCGTAATTTACGAAACTCCGGTGCAAATAACACGGAATGTTGATGCAGGCCTTCCGGCATGTCGATAATGACATTGCTTCCGGCGGTGTACGAATAAGATGGATAATTGATGAACCTTTCCTACAAACTGCCGACATGTGTACATGCGCCAACACACGTAACGTGTGCCCATGCACATGTGGTATACATTGCCGCGAGGGTTATAAAATTTTCAATACGCTGCACGGTCCAGTGACGATTACTGTTACCGCTAATTGCATTTTCCCCTACGAGCCGGTAACGAAATCACGAGTGGAATTGTTTATCGATCGAGAACAGCCGGAACGTTGATTCTGTAAGGCCGTGCTTTAGAAAGTAATGGTCTTGACCGCTAAGGGAAGCGAATGAACATTTTTTAATGCTCTTTCGCTAACTTTTCCTAATATTACTTATCCTCTTTGTTTAGGTGTATGTGAATCAAGCCACACAAAAGACGATTATGAACGATTTAATTTGATAACATAAACCGTGCTAATGAACGGTTACAAGAAGAAACTGCTCATCGAGATATATCGAAAAACAATAGAATATCCATCCAAGATGGCAGCACATGAAAACAAACGATACATTCCATCAACACTCTTTGGTCAAAACGTTAAGGACGAATTTCTGTCGCATATCGCTCACGGGATCTTTAGAATTTCGTATTTTTATGTTATTTTAGAGGTTACTCGATGTTACATACAATGTAAAAGATATTTTCAGGGTCCGAGGGGAACGAATTATTTCAGTGCTCTGAAAGTTCGCCGTTCTTTCCTGTTGCAAGTGTAGCATGTATAATACAATCACGAACATTTCACGATTCGCTAGACTCTACACGCGCAGGTACCGCTAGTGTACGCGTGGTGCACAGTTATACAAATTTGTTACAGTGCTCGTTTTTTTTCTCTCTTTTATTTTAAAGAGAACAACACGCGAACCCAATGCTATTTTAAACAAGCGCCGACCGTAACGTTTACAGAAAAGCAAATCAAATTCAAAATTCAAGCTTGTTTAAAACTACGAGTCTGTACTATCTCTTTGAATGTAACATTCAATTATTACATACTATATACATATCTATTGGGCTGTCTGGAAAGTCCATGCCGATTTTTAGTAAGCGATACAGGCCTGAATACATCGGAATGGCTGAAAACAAATGAAATGTGTACATTCCTTAAGAGGTGGAAAGGTATGGAACAAAATGGTACATGTAATATAATTCAATAAATATACATCAGAATTCAAATATGTCTCTTTGAATTTTTCAATATATTGCATTTTGATTTTTACAGGTGTTCTATAAAAGCCTCTTGGATTACAACTTTGTACAGGATGTTAAAAAGAAGGGGTCTAGGTTAATTAAAGACGTTGAGTCGCTAGAAATAAAGGTAGTATTTCCAGTTAGCGTGGTTCCTTTTTACGGATAGCGTTGCCACGCACCGGCCTTCCGTTAATTTATCTTGTTTTTAGGAACCAGGTGCTGCGGTCACGCAAACGCTCGCAGTTTGGCGGTGGCGGCGGCGTTCCGGCTGAAATGAGCAGAAAAGTTTGCGTTCGTGCTCGACCGCGCGAGAGAGCGAGCCGTTGGGACGAAAATTCAGGGCGAAGGTTCCAGAGGTTCCGGTTACGATGCTCGGGTACGGGTCGTCGGCCGCTCGCGCGTCAGTATCGTGGCGAGATCCGGGCGAAGGAGTATCAGGAAGAATGGAAAGGGGAATGTCGGTCACTGGGCCTTTCCTCGCGATGACGGTACTCCGTTTAGCGCCTCGGGGGCTACCGCCTAGGAATGTTGGAAGAGCATACGCCGAAGGCTCTCTCTCTCTCCTTTCTCTGTGTTCTCTTCTACTTCTCGAAATCGGTAACACTCGCGTCTCTGCTATCCCGTAGCTGCGCGACTCGCACCGTTGACAAAACGCTGCGAAACAAAACTGCGTAACTTACCTGCTCTATCTTTATCTCTATGCGTACGTCTGTTTCTTCTGTAGATAAGGTACCCCGAAATCCATTCGTCCCGGAGACGTACTTCTCGAAGATCAATGGCGAAATCGCCGACGAAAAACCGAGTTGTTAATTTTATTTATAGTCTTGCTCGTCGTGCTCGGTTAACGAGAACCGATGGCGGTTCGAAACGGCCAATATAAACGGGCGCGGTTCGCTGCATATTTCCGTGCCCGTCGTGTCAGGATAACGCGAGTACCGTAAAGGTGAAGAAGCGGGTCGCCGTTGGATCGAATTCCGCGCGTACCACCTCGAGCCACATTAATTTTCAGCGTGCGCGCTAGAATTACGCCGGATCCTTTCGGTGAGAAAAATGGAAAGGAGAGAAGAACTACGGGTATGTACGGTACACGTGCACACGGAAACAGCCGTGGCCTCGACAGCCAGTTGGCTCCTCGTCCTGCGGATGCAGCCGCTGAAAACCGCATCTTTTTTCTCCCGTCGAATTGGAAGAGGTTCATCCCACGCCGCGAACGTCGAGGATTTCGTTGAAATTGAAATACGACGCAGTCCGCGAAAAATGTTTGCCAATTTAAATGAAAATTAGCCGCGAACAAAAATTCGTTTGTATATTCAAATCCCTGTATTTTTCAAAGGCGAAACCAGTACAACGATAACCAAACCCCGTGCTAAGGTTACGTGGACTACGTTATATCGAAAATCTCCGACATCGGCCGCAAAAAGTGATCGATACGACGTGGAATCGCCCGAGGGCCGTAAGTTCGGGAATCGAATTCCAAACATGTTCATACGATCCGCATGAATTTTTCTCAAGTCTCCCGTTGGGTATTGGAGGCTGTGCTTCTCCCGAACAACGGAAAAAGAAAGGACCGAGGGCGAAACGGGTATCCAACGTTCGAAGGTCACCGTTACTTTTTTCGTAATCGTGTGCTTTATCGTGCGACGTTCTATTTATATCGAACCCGCATAAGTAACAAGTAAGTACAAGGTAAGTATGCCGAAAAAGTATAAATTTTTATGAATCATGTAATTATTGTGGCGGGAGTGTACATGACTTCTTCAAGGCTTGGAATCGGTCTGTCGGTCTAATGTTCGAGTTACATAGTCCTGAAGAAGTCATGATCGAGCAAGTGGCCAGCTCATCGTGGTTCCCGCTGGGAGTACCCATTGGGGGAAAACTGAGAGCCATCACTGCGAGCTGGCATTTTTAACTAGCTGCATATTTTTGTTAACTACCTGTCATTGACATGTTTCAGCGTCAGACAAATTCTGAAGAGTCCGATAAACAAATCATTAACGCCACGATTCAAGTTTTCGGCCCGACAACTTCAGTCCTTTTCAATGCGTCGCTGGACGCGATCATCGTAAGTCACGCGAATTTTTCCCAGGACACTACGGTTCTTCTGAATAAAATACAAACAGAAGAGGAATGGGAAGACAGAAAACGAGGAAAAAGAGTGCGCGGATAGGTCCACGGTATCCACCGTTTGAATATGTATAGACATATGTATAGACGGTGTCTCGTAGCAAAGGCCGTTGACTGTGGCAGCATAATTCCGGTTGATTTTGGGTCATCCAGTCGATCGATGACCCGTTTCATCTATTATTGAAATGTAAGCATCGGATGTAACCATCACAAATGTTTACGATACTTTGTACTAACTATTTATAGTTCGTCTCGATGCCACGGAGATCAATTCTTACACTCCCGTTTGTTTTAATCGTATCCGTTACTTTAGTAGAAAACTTTTCTCCGCAAGTTACTCCTTATCGCCCGTGAAATATAATTTCGCCTCAACTTCAAAATGGACCTTAACGATTTATCGACCGGTATCGTTTGGACGTATAATTACGATGTTTCTTTATTTCGACAATCGTTTCTCGATCGATACTTGTATAAATTATCGGTTGTCTCGGCAAAAAAAGCCGATTAATAGGCTACCAGTCGGTAAAGCGTCGATAAGCTACCGGTCGGTAAAGGTTCGAAGTCACAACAAATAAATGCTACAACGGGTCGCTTTCGTGGAAGTAAAAAAAAAAATATATATACATAAACCTAGCCACAGAGTTATTTGCTTTTCGAGCGATTCATTTGATGTTTTTCCAGCGGGACGGTTGTCTGGTGGCAGAGGTCAATCGCTGCGAGGGAAAAATTTTCGATCGGCCGATCGAACACAACGGTATGACATTCATCGGTCGGGCGGGCGTCACGGCGGGTGTCCAGAGGGGCTGGCGTACGTCGAGAGGGCCATAAAATTCTAGAAGGGGGTCATCATACGAGGCCTGGCTCCGTCGAACGCAACGAAGCCAGGACAGTGCACGAACGACACTCGACGCGAACTGAGCTAGCGAAAAGGCGCGCGAAACTTGCGAAACGGCGGCGCGATTTCGAATCGAACGAAACATTCGTTTCCCTCGGCCAATTAACGCTTGTGTACGGTGGCGAACCCACGCCACGCGCCTCTGCGGAATTTCAACGGAAATCAGATTTCCACGGAACAGTGCTAGAAACTGACGTTGTGCAACGGAACCCGTTCGCGAGGAGAGCACGAGGATTAATTTGCTACGCGTCTTCTCCGCGGATAACAGAAATCGAGGTGAGTCTTTTACCACCGATTACTTAATCTCTTTTTCTTTTTCTTTTTTTTTTTTTTTTTTTTTTATTTAACCAAGTTTCCGCGAACGCGATTATTCGTTTCGGAT